TTACCACTTTGTGAACACGCATTCAGACGTTTCTGCATATTCAGCTAATTTTGCCTTCTTTACAACTTTACATTTACATTACTTTGCAATAATTTAGATTCGGTTCGTTTCATAAATTGCAGTAGACACCTTTTAAGTACAGTTTTCTTTAGTACGGGTTTTATTCTTCATTTTTTGTGAGTTCCTTTTTTCAACTCCTAAACCGTGTCATACACTGAACGCTGATAACTATTTCATACTCTATACACTATGGTAAATACAATTACTATACTTTATTGTTTATTTTACATGTAGTTTCATTAAATAAAGTTACGTCTACATGAGTTTGTTTGCCTGACTGTGTAATTTGTTGTGTGATATAGTCCAGAATTTATCGATCTAAAACATACTGCCTGTAAGATAACGTTGCTTAAATGCGTGAAAATGATAGAATAAGGAAAATTCAAGTGAATGATTTGAAATCTACCACAAATCTTTAAGCTGCGTCGTGTTCTAAATATTTGAGGACTATTTTGAAAATTTATTCTGAATTTGTAATAAATGAACAATAGGTCAGAATAGTTAGCGTTCTGGACTGTGCATCAAAGGTTTTGTACCCGGTTACTGCCCAAAATATAGAAATAGTACTCTGTACTTTGGGGCCATGGGTACGTTAGAAGAGCGATGGTAAAATTTTATTATTCGATTAGTTTAACCTATGATACTGTATAGAGTTGTGTTGATTAGCTACTTTGTATCATCTATCATTTCAATGTTCTGGAAAGTTGCCTCAGGTAGTTTTCGAGTAGATTTGCGCAAAATCCAAGAATTTTACAACATATATTTATTTAATTTTTTTTACTTTTTACCAAATTATATTTAAAAGTTTGCAAAGATAACTCAGTAGCATGAACCTATGTATTTAAACATTCAGGGTAATAAATACATTGTTTATACTACGTTCTAGATGTCATGAAAATATTAAATTTCAGGTTTCAACCAAATGCATAATGGATAGTTTGGCCAGCCTCGGGTCACTCCTTGGGTTAGATCCAAAAAAAGACAAAGAATTAATGGATGAAGAACGACTAAAACTTCATAATGGATGCAAGGACGCCCAAGAACAGATTAAGACGCTTGTTCTTAAGGAAAAAGAAGTAATGAATAATCGCATCGACCGAAGAATTTCTCAATTGAAGCAGAACTTGGATGATGCTTTTCCAATAATTTCTGCAGCAACATCAAATCGTATTCAGAAATCAGTG